ATTTATTGAATTATAACCAATTCAAGAATTTAACGAATTTTTGAAATTGTTATAACGAATTCAACAAATCTGTAATAACAGATTAAATTCGTAATAACGAATTCAATAAATCTGTTACAACAAATTAAATTCGTAATAACGAATTCAATGGAATATGTTTTTACAAATTAAATTCGTTAGAACGAATTCAATAAATCTGTTATTACAAATTAAATTCGTTATAACGAATTCAATGAATCTGTCATAATAAATTAAATTCGTTATAACGAATTCAATAAATCTGTTATAACGAATTAAATTCGATATAACGAATTCTAAAAATCGTTATAACGGATTCAATAATATTTTTTCATAGGTTCTAAATTAAATGGACTTCTGTAATTGTCTAACGTCTAAGTATTATTTGATATTTATCTTAAACCGCTGATTTAAATCAATACTTACGTAGTAGAATACCATATCCAAGGATTATTCATTGAATACTCTTTCACAGGTTCTCTATGAAATGACATAAACAAAGCTTGTTTGGTTGATGAAAAATAATTAATGTCTGAACATCAATTCTCTTCTTTCTCTTTAATACTGCATCAACATATTTCTTTTAAGCCCAGATGACACGTTCTTCAAATATATGTTTTGTATTTCTTAATATTATGTAAAGAATTATTCATTATTTGCATTCCCTTATGATTTCTACTGTGTTTCATTTTTAAATATAAGTACACCAAAAATTGTGTCAGAGACCATTCAGAAGATCACCCATAAGGTTTATATAAGAAATGCACCCTCTGCTACCTCAATTTTTGTTAGGAAACTTCTTGAGCACAGTAACTACAGTTTTATTTAGATATTTAAAAATGACACATCATTGGGAAGAAATATAATATATTTTTAAACGTGTCGGACCTTGAGGCTTATTACTTGACCATTTGTTAAATATGTTCATATCCTTAATGAATTAATTGTTCGCTCATGGCAACCTTAACAAATACCGGATCGCGCTTTACTTGCTTAAATGTACTGCCAATAACTGCCAATGGTGGAACTTTTCTTTGCTTACATTGTTACAAAAAGATGCAAACAATCTTATGATTATTTTTTAAATGAAATACCTGTATTTACAGTTGTAAATCAAAAATACTTACGCATACATGAATATCACCATCACCAAAAGCGTGACCACTATCTGACATAGCAGAATTCCATACACTTTTCGTATAAATCCTAAAAAGAAGATATAAAAAAAAATAGGAGATTCTCTTGATCAATTTTATTCAACAATAATTAAGACCTGCACAACTTTTTGAAAAAAATAATTAGATTTAATTCATATATATGTACATAAACCTCTAAAAACTATATAAAACTTTAATTTACGTAGTGTAAGTGTTTCTTTATTTATTATTTATGTTTTTGATATGGAATAAGTAAACCATAAATAAACAACAATGAATATTTGTTGCTTTAGGACATATTCGAGATTGCCAGTACTCTTGCTTGCTTAGCAATGACAATTCTACTTGTTTTCAACACCTTGTATCTGCTTACCTAATCGTACATTTATCTCTGAAAATGCCGATAACTGGTCCCCAAGAAGTTCATCGCTTTCTGAATACATGGTGATTTATTATCTGCAACATAATGGTGCATTTCGAGACTAACCTATATGACATACAAATTAAGTAACTTTAAAGTTTTGAAATTCATTTGTATTTGCGTTACATGAACATTTTCTGATTTTTTTAAAAACATGTTGAGGAAATACGGTAAATTATCTTAAGTCTTCAAAAACGTCTCAGGTATCTGGAGCAAAATTTCTTTCTTTTTTATAGAAGCTGCAAATGTTCATCTAACCGCAGAGTTTACAAAGGGATGCAAATTTTATAAAGAAACAACATTATCCATTCCGTAAGACCTAGTCATTTCTTGTATAAATATGTATCAATTCTTTGACAGAAACCAAATATATCAAATATAAGAGACTGATATATAGATTTTTCTTCTTCTTTGTCCAAGGAATGAAAAAAAATTCAAATGTATTATCTACATGTGTAATATATGATAAATATATAACAAACTAACTCACATTCTAGAGAATGAACCTTGCAATTGGACTCTGGGAGCATGGAATTAATGTTTGTGGAAGTTAGCCCTCGTTTAAAAGGTTTGTCTGGTACATATAGATGTCCCTTAATAAAGAAGATTTGCAGAGAAGCCATTTAAATATTCTCAATAGATGTGCATGTCTAGGTTGTACCCAACAAACACGATTTTATATTTTCAAAGGGGGAAAGGGTTTATCTTTTATCAAAGTCTTGAGTAAAAAATACATGTTTTTCTCTTTTTTTATACCATTAGTACAGGTTATGAACTTTAAGATCGATCCTTTAGCCTTGGCCCAAGACACAGATGTTTTGAAATTCACAACTTTGGAAGATGCTCCCTGACTTATCATGAAAAACAATACCCTTTTTCTTGTAACTGAAGTTTTTTTTTATTTTAATGTCATGGATAATTATGTTTGACTCATTTGGTACCTTTGAGTTCCTGAATATTACATACAGTGAAAACTGTCTAATCCGACACCTGAATAATCCGACACACTGTGAATTCCGACATTAAATTTCTTTGATCCCATTTTAGTATTTTCCTTGTTTTTAACACTGTGCAATTTGGCACCCTTTCTATTCCGACACAAAATTTGTCTACCAGTGCACGCCGGATTAGACAGGTTTCACTGTATTTTCCTTAGGCAATATTCCATCTTTAACAAAGAAAAATAATTTTAAATCTTTTTTCTTATCTCTAGGAAATGTTGGTAGATGAAATATAAGATCTCCCATGATATGTAGTTAAATATATGATTTTTATCAAACGAATTGTGTTTTTTTTTAATCTCTGAGCGTATCCAACTACAAACAGTGGGAGTTCCTTTTTACATAAACGTAGGAACTAGGCTGTAGATCTCCTCCCAAAAAAATTGAGATGTAAAAAAAAAATTAAATCTTTTTTAAACACCTCCTATAATTTTGCCCATATATTGAATACTATAGAAAACATAGCTACTATATTCTTGTGTAAAATTTATTTATGAACCTCAAGCAGTTTTATGTATGGCGCCAATTCTAAAGGAATGGGCAAAACACATGTACGTACATGTATTAATTTTCATTCGAAATTTAGGCCTATGTTTACCAATTGTTAATTCAGGTTTTAAAGCTTATATTTTTATTAACAAAAATGAAATAAATGGAGATAACAAACAGTATTCACACTCGAAAGTCCATTAAACAAACACAAATCAGGAGCAGAGCAAACACGCGCCTCTAAAACATCAGAGTTGGGATCAGGTGCCATGGAGGAGTGAGCATCTCCTGCCGACCAGTCACAACCACCGTGTGCTCCTTGTTTAATCGGAAATGGCAAATAAAAATTGTCAAATGATTTTGAAGAATTTTCTCCTTAGAAAAGGAGTTATATTTATTGGTGTAAGTTTGACTACCACTTGTAGAATTAATCCCAGTTCCTCTATAATACACAATTTGAAATAATGCCAATACAGTAATTTAATTTTTATCTTAATTTACCTCATATCTATTGTTGTAAATGTAAACCATACTTACGAATGTTAAGTTATCTGCCTGTGAATGTTTTATACCTGTGTTTGTCGATAAACTGTAATCTTCATAGCTGATAATCATCATGAAACTGTTTTTATCAGATAAATTACGTTTTGCTTTTGCAATTTTTTTTTTCAATTTTACAATTGTGATTCATAGATTTAAGTGTAAAAACAAGAAAGAGAAGTACCTGTATCTTACAACTGGTTGAAACTTAGTGAACTTAATTTACAATTTAAAAATAAATAAAATTTGCTTTAGGTTCAATTTTTTAATTTAGCTTATAATGTAATTATAAAAAAATGATTAGAACATTTTTATAAACATGTCTTACAAATTTATGAGTTGTTTCCTTCTCTGTATCAACTGGCATAACTGTTTTTCATCTATAACATTATTAATTTTGTTTGATGAGAGAAATATAAGTAAGTATGTTATATTGTATGTTACATGTAAATTATGCGTGTGTGTTTTCAACTTTTCATTCACAGTTGCCCCTGTTCTTACTGTGCCAATAAAGAAATGAGGTACAGAATTGTCCGGAGAATTCAAAAGTTTTAAAATATTTTTTGGTAAATGTTAAAGAAGATACTGACAAATTAAGACCACTTTCATGAAATGTGAAAATCAAACTTTGTTGTGGAAAGGGTGCGAAATCCCTCTAATGTTTTCTATAATTTCATTTTACTTTTTTATTATGATACAATTATTTACTATGCAGAATAGATGTACCTTTTGATCAAATTTGCTGTAATACATATCTTGAAATTTATTATTTGCTGATAAAACTGGTATATACAGTAATATAACTTCCTCTTAATTATGGTCTCGAGTTTATACAGGTACATACCTTTACAATACACTTTCTTTGTTTCCACAGTCAGTACAAAGCATGATTTTAAACAAATAGATGTGAATACATTACATGTATGTATGTCAGTAGGATACCTTTCATATATATACATAAAATACACAGATAAGAGTTCGCAATTATATTTTTAATTGTGATTTTTTATGTACACACTCAGGTACAAGTATGAGGTATTATAAACAGATAAAACCCAGGCACGTACCTGTGTTTGTCAAGCACAAAATGCTCAATATACTAGTATAAATTCATTAAGTTAATTACCCTATTCTCGTCGTAATTTTAGACTAATTTTACTTAGCTATGAATCATCAATCATACGATGACAATATGTTAAATTTCTCAATTGTTTTCAATTATTGAGTTATAACTTATAAGGATATTAATTTTACTTTTTCTTTCACAGTTTAAGGTAGTTTGCGGGAACTACTACAAGTATTGTCAGAATGGAACTCCATAAAAATCCAACACTTCTCCTCAACAAACCTCATCTTATAATATGTAATGACAAATTCCCAGCCTTTTATCAAAATTCTGCAGTTTTCTTCAGCTTTCAGGTCAAAGGTATTCAAAAAATTATCTCAACCTCTAATTTACTTAGTATTAAAAAAGTCTTCGTCTTATTTCATGGCTGCTCAGTACAATAAAAAGGGCTGAAATGAAATCAGCACCATGTAGTTTCGTGCTCACTAGTCCATAAAGAAACCGGGTGTTCGATTAGGCATTGTTTTGTTTCACGGTTGGATATTCAAGTGGGCTATATCCTATTGTATTATAGCAGAATTGGATATTTGAATGGGCAAATGTTTCTTTTGGGCCAAAATTAGTAATTTTTTTAAGTAAGATGAATTCTCCATTTGATTCGAATACTCTTTGCATTACCAATTTCTAAAACACGGAAAGTTACTGACAAACAAGTTAATGGAACAGGAATATCAGCATTAGACTTTTTTTTATAGATAAAATGACCTTGTCAGCAAATACAATCTATCATTTAGTCAAATGCTGACTGGCGTTCTTCATACTATTTTTAGGCCATTATTTATATATTGAGTTGTCGACGGATTTTCCCGTTATTTCCTGATCATGACAAGGAGCACATGCGGATGAGTCCGGTCAACAGGGAATTTTCACTCCTCCATGGCACCTGATCCAATATCTGATGTTTTAGAGGCCCGTATTTGGTCTGCTCCTAATTTGTATTGTTTGATGAACTTTTAGCTCAAATGCTGTTTGGTATCTGTATATATTTCGTGTAAAGAAAACCAGTAATTTATCTAAACTAGTAAATCAATCGATATAGTGATATATCCAGCATTAAAGTCCATAATGAAAATTATCATATTTACTGCTACTCAGTGAACAATGAGCGTTAAAGGAATATTCGAACTTAGGTAAATTTAACCCCAAGGGATTGTCTATTTAACAGATGCAAAATCATATACGGGGTATTTTATATATTTTTTATTTTCATTTAACAAGAGCAATGCTCAAATAATTAAACTTATAAAATAAAGCATGAAAAAATGAGCAAAAATCCCGCTCCAAATAGCCATTTCATTTAGAACTACAAGGACGCGGTAAATGCAATGTTTCATGAAATGGAATCTCGTTTAAATTCTTAAAGTCCGAATTAAACACAAATCTCTGAAGATCGAAAAAATCAGATTTCTTCAAGGCATTTACTGCCATCACCAGACACCAGGGATTTCAAAACCAATTCTCATCGAATTTAAGAAGAGCATTGATTCAACGTTAGAAGTTATCTACTATTGAAATGACGCCTTCGTAAATGAGTAGATGTTCCAGCTCTGTGGTTGAGAGCAGGAGGACTCGGCAAGTGTGGTAAACTGGGTTTACCGTCTGTGTGTTTCTCTCTCCCTGAATCCTTTTCAAATTTGAAATTTTTTTCCGAGTTTGAACTCACTGGAGAACAAATCAAAGAATTTTTCAAAGGAATCCTGTTTTCGGAAAGGGATCCTAAGATACTTGCGCATTCCAATGTTTTCTCTCTTTTATCTTTCTGTAATGTTGGCACTGGTAGTTTACTGTCATGAACTGGTACGATTTTCTTTGAAAACCGGAAGGAAAGGAATTCTTCGGTTGAAAGTTTACGGTTTCTGATTGGTAGTTTGCTATGAGCTCCCGCCGTATCGTTGTCGATTGTCTTTTGCAGTTGGTCTCCGCATCTAAGTCTTTGTTGCGCTGCCTTAAACTTCGGTGAACTTTTTGTTCCATTTTAAGGGTTTTGTACAACTGGCTCCAAAGGAGGTAGAACTGTGCTCTTTGCACGGCTTGTGTCCTTTGCAGTTTTTCTTGTGAAGTTCTTCCCAATTTGAGGTAACTTTGTTGATTTGCCCTGATTATATAACACATGGGTAGGATGACGCTTCACGGGACACTTCAATCGTTGACGCATTTCCTCCAATTCCTTCAATGCTACGTCTCTTTTCCAATAAAGATACTCCAGTGACGCCCAGTCTTCAGTGTCTGATGCGGTCATTTGGAACTGGCGACGCGCGTCCTTTAATTTTTCCTCAGTCTCAAACAACCACTCATGCATTGTAAATTCTTTCAGTTTCCAAACATCTCGCGCCTCCATAGGAATCCTTATGTTTACCAATTCTTGTTGAACGTTGCTCTTTTCCTTTATGTTTTCCTGACAAAGTTTCATCCAGTAACTGAAAATAAAATAATGTTTTAAAATCAAAAGCATTTATTTTTAGACAATTTCTGATCAAGAAATATATTCAATAAATTTATTACATATATTAAATTTAATTTACAATACATTAAAATTACATGCACTAACCTCGTTTCATTGTTGAGTGGAGTCCTTGTTTTCGAAATATTGTTTACCGTCCATTCTGCAAAGATAGAAGAGCATAATATTTCATTACTAAAGATATATTGCATTTATACGTTTCATACATAACTCTTAACTACTGTGCTAGCCTGTACAAGAAATATTTCACTAACCTTCATGTGAAAGGTCACTTTGAAAATATTTATACTCTGCATTCTCGTCAATGTACAATCTCTCCTCTGCTATGCGTGGCAAACTGCAACAAATTATAGATTCTATCATTATTTGCCTATACTTACATACATGTATATAAAGATGTTTTCCTTAAAATATAAGGGTATGCATATACACGTGAAGAAAATAAACATTTTACATAAGTAAGTAGATAAACAACACTTACTTCATATAAAATGCCATCGTTTCTTGTGATTTCACCGAAAAATTTTTAGTTGTTGAAAGGCTTCACCTCGATATTCACCAGTTTTGGTTGTTAGCAATAAAGTTATGACGTTCAAGTTATTGTGACGTCATAGGTATTGTTACGCTACAGTTCTCTTCAAGTAAATCAAGCAAGCGCAAAAAAACCTTGTTAGCATATGGCCTCATTTATCTATGATCATGATTAGTTCAAAATTTACTTTAAGTTACCGTATCGCAGTTTGAATTTTATAAAATCGCATCTTAATTTATACATCCCCCTTTTCTTTATTGTTGCGTCAATTAAAATTTAAAGGGCCCTAGTGTCGGATAGTTTAATTTTGTAAAGTCTGGCCATATCGAACATGCACTACCCATAGAACGTACATATCACAAGCTCTTGTTTTAAAAATAAATTTTTAACCCATAGTGTAAGGATAACATTATTATTATCCTATGTGTTCAGAGACAAGTGAAAAGGACCCCCAACCCCCCTCCAGCAAATTTCATAGCAACTCGTTTATCTCCCATGGAAACATCCATCAAGAGTGTAGAGTAATCAAACTGGTATAAAATTGGAGAGAACAGAATTTCTGTATAGGATATTTGAGGTGCTAAATTCATTTAATCTTTTGCTAGGAAACATTACTAAATACTTTAAAACACTAATTTTACATGCATGTTAGCCAGCTGATGGTTATCTATCTGTTTACGTCATTTCTTTGACATTAATGCAAATTTTAACAGATTTTAGTGAATTTTTTGGAAAATCTTCCTTTAAACTTGTGTTTAAGAATCCATTTACATCAAGCTAACTGTATTTCTCCTATTTGTTTAAGAATTAATTTACATCAAAAGTTATTATTGTACTAAATCCAATAATTAGAATATCAAGATGGCGTCAACAAATTCTGACAGCATCAAGCTCCATAGGTTTCAGTTCAGGTTATTTTTTTTCAGAGATGTTGCACCATTTTATTTTGTAACCAGTGATTGTTTGGTACATTTATAATGTGGAGATTTGTCAAACTGGTACAGCTGTATGGTGTACAATTTTCCACACAACTCCATGTCCCCTACTGTACAATACTTGTACCTATAGATGTACTGAACATACATTTTCTTAAAACCAATACCCTCTACCATTCTATTCTAAAGATCAGAGAAACATCTGATAACTTTTTCATTACTTTAATAACAATTTTCCAACAACAAAGAAAAGTGAATCCACACCACAGATATTTGAACAAGAAAAATTTACTTTAAAAATTGTACAGATTTATTACCCTGCATAACTAAATGTTGGGAAAAAATTACCAATCTACCCAATAATAGTAAATGCACACCAAAATCAAAACATGAAATGGCCAAAAAATATAAAAATAATAATACTGAATTCTCATTCTTCTATTATCAATATAAATTATCCTTTATATCAAAATAATGTTCCTTATATCAACAAAATTTTTCCATGCAGATCAAAAGGTTCATTGAAGATACTTTTCTTCAAAAAGTGAGAAACATTGTAAGAATTTCCACATTTGTATACTAGTATACATAAATCATACATATTAATTCTGCTGATACATTTTTAAACACAAAACCAAAGAAATAAAACATAGGTAATCAGAGATTACAGAGCTCACCTCAACGAATGTTGTCTTTAAGTAAGGCAAAGTCACACAATTAACCAACAAAAAGTGTACATTCCAAATATGAAAATATTTAAGCAATTTTGATCTGATACTTTGCAATAGACCTACATAAAAAATTTAAACTAGTTCTTCTTCATGAAAATGTAATCAAAATCCAGCATCTGAAGCAAATTTGAGAGTTTTCATCTCTTGATGCAACATTTGTGCAAGTTTGGTTTATACAATGTTATATAAGCCTTATAGTTTTTTGGTAATAGACCTGCACCCATAACTTTTACCTGGTCTATTATCTGAAAAATGTATGTCGAATTCAGCATCCGAAGCAAGTCCATTAGTGTGCATCCAAAGATGTATCGTCCATGCAAGTTTGCTCATTATAGGGCTCATAGTTAATTGGAAATGAAACATGCATCAAAAACTAACATTTTCACTCATCCACAAAAAGTAGGTCAGATTCAGCATCCGAAGCAAGCCTGGTAGTATGCATCCTTAGATGTATCATCCATGCAAGATTGGTCATTAAAGAACTCATAGTTACTTGGAAATGAAACCTGCACCAACAACTTTTACCTGTTCACTCAACCAGAAAATGTAGGTCAGATTCAGCATCCGAGCAAGCCCAGAAGTGTGCATCCTTAGATGTATGATCCATGCAAGTTTGGTCAACATAAGGCTTAAAGTTACTTGCAAATGAAACCTGCATCAAAAACTTTAACCTGTTCACTCAACCGGAAAATGTAGGTCAGATTCAGCATCCGAAGCATGCCCGGTAGTATGCATCCTTAGAAGTATCATCCATGCAAGTTTGGTCAACCTAGGGCTTATAGTTACTTGGAAATGAAACTTGCATAAAAAATTTTAACCTGTTCACTCAACCGGAAAATGTAGGTCAGATTCAGATTCCGAAGCAAACTCTATAGTATGCATCCTAAGATGTATCATCCATGCAAGTTTGGTCAACATAGGGCTTAAAGTTACTTGCAAATGAAACCTGCACCAAAAACTTTAACCTGTTCACTCAACCGGAAAATGTAGGTCAGATTCAGCATCCCAAGCAAGCCCTGTAGTATGCATCCTTAGATGTATCATCCATGCAAGTTAGGTCAACATAGGGTTAATAGTTACTTGGAAATGAAACTTGCACCAAAAACTTTAACCTGTTCACTCAACCGGAAAATGTAGGTCAGAATCAGCATCCGAAGCAAGCCCGGTAGTATGCATCCTTAGATGTATCATCCATGCAAGTTTGGTCAACATAGGGCTTATAGTTACTTGGAAATGAAACCTACACCAAAAACTGCACCAAAAATGTTAACCTGCTCCAAAACATTAACCTGGTCATTCCTTTGCTGAAATTGCAGCATCTGAAACTTTGACTGGTACAATGAAACACACTAGAACCATCTTCCATGCATGTCTAATCAATATAGGACATAGAAGTACTTAAAAAGAAAACTGCTCCAAAAAACTTAACCTTAACCCGGGACGCCGACGCCGACACCGACGCCGACGCCGAGGGTATTACATAAGCTCCCCCAACTTCGTTGAGGTGAGCTAAAAATCAATAAAAATAGCATGGAATATCAGAAGTACAAATAAAATATCTAAAGTTACTATTAATAACGGGAAGATTGAAATCATAATACTAAATAAAATACTGGACATTACTCCTAGACAAATACAATCAATTTATCCAAAACAGAAACTGAAAAGTTCATTGAGAAGAAAAAAATCAGTTATTATGCAGGATATACAAATTCAGCTGTATTTAAATGTAAACTTGAATTAACTTTATCAAAAAGTAGAATCTTCAATTTGTTTATAAATATGTTCATTCAAAAAGAATCCAATTGAAATCCAGAAATCTTTCGCATGTACATTACAAAATGCAACTCCTCAAAACATATTTATAAATGCTACCACTAGTGACTACAACTACATTGTACAAGGATACAGTGATTTTTACATTCTTTCATAGGAGTGACTACATGTAATTGTACAAGTGTATATTTAAAGAAGTGATGAGTTTTTTTTTTTTGCTTACATTACTGAAAAGCAAAGTGAACACTCACAATATTAAACTCTGAACAATTACCAACAAAGATGAAGACATAAACTGTACATGACTGTAAATAACAAATACAGTAAAACTTGTTCAACCTAGATGCTACTGGTTTCAAAGAAATTGGCTGGATAAGCAACATTACGGCTTGGACAATATTAAATACAACTGAATTTACTGTAAAAAGACTTGAAGTTTACACTGTATTAGAAAAGATTTTGAATTACACAGCATCCAGATTGGACAAGTTTCACTGAATATTCATTGTGAAGAAGAAAAAAATTGTGACACTACTGGTATACTTCATTGAATATAACAGGACTGTTAAAAAATTGTATGGGATTAATTACTAACACACCATGCAATTTAAACTTGCTGATAACAAGGGCAAGATAGGACATTTTAATCTTTTCTTTAAGGAATTTATTCTAATTCTTATAATTTTCATTGCATATATCTTATGGTGTTGCAAAGTGCATGCATCCTCTCAATTAAAGGCAAACAGAAACATTAATTATTACAACATATTAGGAGTACATGAATATTAATTATTTTCAAGTCATTACTAAACATGAATATTAATTATTTTCAAGACATTACTAAATAGAATGCACATCATGACTTGCAAAAGTAAAAATTTCCAAATTTTAATTTTTCTCTTTAACATTTTGTCCTCATTTATTTAAGAAGTTCCAATTAAAAAAAAAACAACTTAAAATTAATGTTTAAAAAAATTGAACTTCACTAAAAAAAGGAGTCTGATTAAAATCAAACCTTCACTAGCTCCTTTTCATTTTGTTTGTCATGTGACAAACAAGGAGCTAGTGAAGGTTTAATTTTAATCAGACTGATAAAAAAATCTAAATATTTATATTTTCTGTTTTTTTTTTCAAAGAGAAATTCTTAACAGAAGCCTAAAAGCAAAAAAAAAAAATATTCAGAAATACATGTAAGCTGTAACTGTTTGGGCCAAAAAAAAAAAAAACAACTGAAACAATAAATTTCAAATATATATATGATTCAAAACAAATTGCATGTTCCTAATCAGTCTCATAATGATTTAAAGCTTTCATTCACGATACATGTATATGGTCCACATACACCTTAGCAAAATGACTAACTTCATTGCACTGTTTGTAAACCTTTGACCTTTGACCTAACTTCTGGCCTCGCCAACGAGGGACAGGATTAAAAGGAAAAGGTTGATGATGTCCAGGTAAAGGTTGAGGGCGGCGAAGATGTATTCCTCGGGGGACAGGCTGTACTTGTGTTTCCCTCCCATCATCAGCTGGGTGTCAAAGACCAAGTACTGGAAGCATTGCCAAAAACATGAACATCAATGAAAGATTTTGGGGGGATAAAATTCTGATAAATTCAAATATATAGTGATATTTCTACTACCTAAAGCGTATTAAAGTTGATTTTTAAATTTTACCTTTTTTACAATTTATTAATAAAGGGGGGAAAATGCTCACTGCAATTTACATACAAGATATAACACAAACTATTGGAGAAATGAAATGCAAAGAGGAGGAAAAATTACTTTTTTTACAATTGCTGAGATAACTTGCATTACTTACAAAAGAAAACAACAGAGCTCCAAGGCTGGCATAGACAACAGACAGAATCTGAAATTAGTAAAAGAAAATTGCAATTTCCAATGCAAACATATGTGTCCAGGTACAAGTAACTGCAATAAACATTTCATCCTTTAAATTTCGCAATTTATATCATTAACACATTCTTTTCTTAATATTCATAAAAATGATTATACAAAAGAGGTGCACATTGTTGCATAGACCGTTTCACGGTAACTGTGGTACTGCTCTTTTGCAGGGCAAGATGATATAGTTTGGTGAAATATGACATAAAAGTTATTGTTTAAAATACGTCATTTAATTATCTATCAATAAAAACTCCACCAAACGTTATTATTTTGCCCTGCAAAAGTGTAGTACCGCAGTTATCGTGAAGGGGCTAATTGCATTATTTATTTATAATGACCTGGCATGAGAGATTAAGTTTATTCTGAACACATAAAATATACATTAATGTAATTTTAGAACAGCTTCCCTTCAGTGCACCTTTTTCACGTGATGTATTATTTAAAGCAAAGTAGTTCAAATCTCACAAAAAATTTTTAGGTACAATTATCAGCCCATCGTAATTTTTTTTTTTTTTTTTGCCACTTTGATTCATGTTTTAGATTTTTGCTATAACTATACAATTGGTTGTAAGTTCAGTGAATCTGGGGTGTCCAAAGTACTTTTTATACCTTCCAAATATTGAATGCCATCCCATTACAAATTAAAGATTAAATTTGTTCTAAATACACAATATATATTCTAACTAGAACTGTCCAAACGGGACAAAATACCCCCTGCTGGGTTTTTCAGAAGTAAGTTTTTCCTTAATAAAGATATGTATCAAACATGAATTATGAAATTTTTCTTCAAGTGACCTTGAACTTCCCCAAATGACCCTGGATCAAGATCATGACAAACCCATGGGTCATGGGCAATTTTTGTGTGAAATGAGAATCTTTCAAGTTTATCCATAAAGAGATGTGGATCGGACACAAATTATCAAATTTTTCTTCACTTGACCTTTAACCTCCCCAAATGACCTTGGGTCAAGGTCATGACACACCCTTGGGTCATGGGCAATCTTTGTGTGAAATGAGAACCAAGTTTATCCATAAGAAAGATATGGACCGGACACGAATTATGAAATTTTTCTTCCAGTGACCTTGAAGTTCCCCAAATGACCTTGGGTCAAGGTCATGACACACCCTTAGGTCATGGGCAATCTTTGTGTGGAGTAGTAGATTCTTATGTCCCTCTGTAAGAAAGCTATGGACCGGACACGATTGCACAGACAGACGGACAGACAGACAGACAGATGGACAGGCGGACAAGGTGATTCCTTTATACCCTCCAAAACTTCGTTTGCGGGGGGTATAAAAATATAATCTACAAATCTGTACGGTATTTATTGCAATTATTTTAGAATCACATATGAAGTCCATTTTTCTAAGACCTTGCATTTAAACATGCTATCATTATTTATAACTACAGTAAAACTTGTCTAATCCAGATACATGTATTGTGAAATCTGAAATCTTGTCTAATGTGGTGTAAATTCCTTTGAAGATTTCAATAGTTTTAAAAACAAGATGTTGTCTAATGAAGAATGTTGTCCAAATCAGTTAATTTCTTAATTTGTAACCAGTTGTGTCTGAATTAATTAAGTTGTACATGTACTTGGTTTTTTTTTTTTACCTACCTTATTGTGAAATATTGCAGCAAAGATTCCAAATATTATTAGGACCATAAGGAATACAAACAGAAGTCCGCCACACATTGTAAAGTCAAACTGAAATACATATTTTAAAAATCATTATACATCCATCAATTAAAACACTTTAAAAGACTACCAGTAGCCATGACTTTTTCAATTGTTCCAAACTAGGTAATCAATGATTACAAAGCTTATCTTGATGAATGTTATTTATAAGTATGGCAAAGTTTGACAACAAACAAATGTTCTGGTAGTTCTTGCATCCCTATATGCAACATCTATGCTATCATGGTCTAGGTGAGACTTACAGTTCTGGGAATGGAAATTTTTAAACAACAAGATAATGTAAGAATAAGTGTTTGGATCATTTACGATACTAGGCATCTCTGGAAGAATCATCCATGCAAATTTAGTAACCAATAGACTTGGTTGATCATACAGAAAAAAAAGGTAAGACCATATATCAGTAGTTCTGATACTGTGAATCCCTTGATGCATCATCCACGCAGGTTTAGCAACAATGCAGGTTTTGCAACAATTAGGCTTATAGTATCTTGGGAATGGACTAAGTCCAAAATCTAGAAAATGTTCAATCATCAGGTAAGATCTATAGCCATTATTGTTTGGTAGTATGTATTCTTAAATGCGACATACATGAAATTTTAATGACCATAGGGCTTAATATCACTAAAAATAAGACCAGCTAACCTGCTCAAAATTATATTAACCTCTCATTCAATCTTTTGAAAAATATTAGCTGAAAATTCAGCATCTACAACCTCTTAGGTATAATAAAACATACTAGATGCATCAACCCCAGCTGATCTGATCTATTTATGGCAGAGAAGCAATTTAGAAGAAAATTGGGATGTTTCAAAGTTTGTTTATTGTAAGTGTTAAGACTGACAGAATCATACTTACTTTTGTTTGAAATGCAAAGAGAGTCAGTGCTAAGCATACACCCTACAAATAAATAAAAACTGGTGAGGTCAACTTTAAATATATATTTTTAATCCTTGCAAATTTTGGTCCCTAAAAAAAACCAAGAAAAGTGCAGCTTAGATATTTCATATCATATAACTCATTTTTCATGATTTAAAAAAAATGTATATTTGATTTGTAAATGGTTAAAGAAAAAAATATTAACAGTGTATATATGGGTTGAATAGCAACATCATATGGGTTGAATATTGATTGAATAGTGATATTTTTTTTATAATACAAGTACTCACTGCAGTGATGCCAACAGCTAGCAGGACAGACACCTCATCATAGTGACTGCATAATTATAAAGAATAACCAATATCAGATTTATAAGGAAAGAGTGATGGTGACCAAAATCAAACTGCACTTTTTCATACAGTAATTTATAGTAGAGTTCAAGACAATATTACCTGGTTACAGCTCCAAGCAAAATCGACTCGCACAAAGTCTGGAAAAAAATATAATCAAGTTTAAATAAATGCAAAAGATACTATACCCCAAAATTGGTACATCAATTCAAGGGAGGAAGCTCAACCGGTGCATCGACCAGTTTAAAAAAAAAGGAAGGTCATTAACCATGTTCAAAAGTTTACAAGAGACCAAATACAGAAAACGTAAAGAATGGATAGCTCACTTAGTAAAATGTCATTTGAGTGGCTCATTTGGCTTTTAAAAAATGCATAATTTAATTTATTACTTTCATTTCTAATTAGATGATTGAACACTCACAGATCTACTGTCTACTTACAAATAGACCGAGGAAGATCAAGTTCAGGGGAGTCTTTCGTCTGACGCTATCACAGCAAACTAGTACAATCAGCGTCACAAATGTCACAGCACTAAAAGAAAGCAAACAATGTGTACCCTCACTTAGCCAAGACACTGACTGCATGTGTCATTGAATTTAATGCAAGGATTAGCTGATATTAGGACCCAAGGGTTATCCCCTAGACCCAGGGGCCAGGGAATTTCCCACCTACCCCAGATCCCCTTCTACTTTTTTAAGTGCCCCCTGCTATTTAAATTCTCAAGGACAACCCTGTATAAGAAGGTACATGTAAATTACATTCAATGTTTTTTCTATAATTTTTGGAAAGGCAGGTCTCAACACAAAATGTAATGACTTAAGATGGGATGAAATGGGATTATTACAGTTTGTGTCATTACATTCTGCTTCAAGATCACAATGGCAAAAAGTAATAATGCAAAATGTTATGATCAAAATGTAATAATCAAATATTGTAACAAAGGCACTTTTTTGCCTTGTGATCTAATGCCACACTTTTTTAAAAGATGCATCCCGAGTTTTAAAACTGTAAGTTATGTACAGATCTTCCCACTAATAAATGACCAGGGGTTTTCTTAATAAATAATACCACTGTCAATGAAGTACTGTCTATTTTTTTGGCTCTCTGACAGCTAACATATTGTAAAATGACGTATTATATTTGGCCTGTATATTTGGCAGAACTCAATTTTTCAACAAGTTAGCAATTAAGATTTGATTTAGCGCTATCTGAATGTGCTTGATATAAATATGATATACAAAACATTTAGAAAATTTCCTTGATTTACAGCTGATTTAGCAGACTCTGCTTTGAGCCTTTCCACAAAATCACTAAATGAATGCATCACTAAATGTAATACGATTAGTCGATTACTGTATAAACACTTACAGTGCTGTGTACCAGATCCAGGGATTGTTCATAGAATACTCTTTTACAGGTTCTCTGTAAGTAATTGAAATATTCTGTGCTTGAGGAAAGGTAAGAAATAACTTTAAGACATATTCAATTTATACTCTATCGACAGTAAACATGTGAGTAAATATTCTTTCATTATAATAAACTTGCAAAAAAATTCTAATCTTAATATTAATTTTAAATTTTTACATATCTTGGCTGAACAACAATGAACAACTTAAATTCTCATGTTTCCAGAACATAACAATAAATATTTCTTTATTTTTATGCTAAGAAAGAAATTTCCATTCATGTCTTGGTCTTCCTAGCAATTTTCATTGATGGGGCAAATAGAGATGTTTGTGTGTGTGTGTATGTGTGTGTTTTCTCTCAATTTAGCTCAGGTAATTGCAAATAAACTTATCAATTCATAATTCAAACTGGTCATACATATTTGCACTGTTGTGAATCAATCAAATATATAAATGTACTTACATGTACATAAACATCACCATCACCAACATTGTGACAACTAACTGGCATAGCAGAATCCCGTACACTTTTCGTATAAATCCTTAAAAAAAGAAGAAATTAAAACATACACACTATATGACATATTACAAAAGATTTACGTTGGCAAATATAGAAAAGAGTGATGCATAAAGAAATTTACGATAAGCATCATATAGATTTTTAATCCAAGCCTATAACTATGATGTAAATTTGAAAAATTCTACAAAACTCAAATTTATGTTGCTTGTTTTCCTCTCCATATTTTGAAGTCTCCTGAAGAAAAAGTTTTACCCTTTTCAATTATACTTTTAGAATATTGTCTACTGGGCATTAACATATTTTTTTCTCTTATTTTTTTTTTTTTTACCCATAGTTCCAGTTATGAATAGCTGACAGAGATCTGCTTACCTAATCGTACATTTTTCTCTGAAAATGCAGAGAACTGATCTCCAACAAGTTCATCGTCTTCTGAATACATGATCAGCTACTTTCTGCAATATAAAGGCACTTTTAATTTTCAGACTACCAGTTAGTACAAATAATTTTTGAAAATACAAAGTAACATATATACTACAGGTAATAAAACTTCTTAAATCCAACTTCTAGACATTTAAAGAAAATTTACACAAGAAAAAAATTTCTACTACAAACATTTATATCAATATATGAGCAAAATATGCAGTGTCATCGAATCAGATTTGCATTTCAATTATCTACAGCAAATCTGTCCTTTCACAAAAAAACGTAAGAGTTCACCTTACAAATGTTTACAAAAGAAACAATTATCAAAAGCAACAATATTATCCACTCCCCGAAGCTCTGGTCTTTCCCAGTACATTCTTTATCAGTTCTTTAACAGAAGCAAGAGAAACCTATGTAATATAATTTGTTTAATCCAATGAATTTAAAATGCATTCGAAATACATGATCAACTAGCCATAGCCCTTAGGTCTGAATGGGTACATAAGTACCACAATCTGGTAAAGGACTGTAGTTCAATCACTAGCTGTCATATACAATGTTAACAATTCTTTGCTAATTTCCGTGCTAAATAATATTCACCATCTATCTAATTCTTGTTAATTTTTAATTTTCTTTCTAGATGTCCACATCATATATAAATATTTACATTTCCAATGTCTTTGTCCGAGATAAAATTACCAATTGTAAATGTAATTGATTTCCTCATGAATGTTTTGGCGCGGTTCCAAAAAAAAAAACCACGTGCAGGGCGGGACAACACCTAGAGAGAAGCAGGCTTGGAGCCCGTGGATTGGCGGAATCAAAGCATGTAAATATAAGGAATAACTGTCTTATTTTTCGAATTCATGAAGATGATCAATGGATTGGCTTGTGTGATAATTTTATGCATAAACGCCTTCGGCGTTTATGCAAATTATCACACAAGCCAATCCATTGATCACTTCATGAATTCGAAAAATAAGACAGTTATTCCTTAAAGGAATCAGAAAGAAGAGGGATGAAAAATATTTTTATAGCCCAATGTATGTAATTAAAAATAGAAATGACATATTATCATGCATGATATTTATACAGACTCCAATTTAAGCTTACAGAAGCCGTAGAATAGGGATCTCACAGTCTTTAGATTAGTTAATGTTGATAAATAAAAAATACAAATATAAAGTACAAATTTCTTGATAAACACTGAGAAAGCCCGAGAGTATACTACATGTATAAATGCTGAGCTTTCGTATATTAAAGAACTCCATCACTTAGTCATGGTCACGTTAACTTGTTTACATCCTGTACAAATTTCAAAACTTTTTTTCCAAATTTGCCACATCGTCAGACACAAAACATATTCTTAACATACAATTTCATTAGCTATATTTACCTCGATATCCTTGTAACTTAAGAATATTTTTGGTTTAGCTCTAAATAATCGATCATATGATAACACCTCCTGAGGTTCTTCTGGCAATTTCTGCTCCTAAAGACTAAACTAGTCCGAATGATGGAGAGAACCAGTTACTCAGTAAACAACTTGTACGTTGTCTTATTCGTAGATCCTTTAAAAATTGATTTATTTAATTTTAAAATAAAATAGGCCTATAAGTTTCGTGACTGTCGTCATAGTGTCTCATATTATTGATAATAAATTATGATGTTGTTTCACATTAATTGGGATTATTTTAACATATTTTAAATTACGAGCAAGGTTTCTTTTTTAGGCCCTGTGAAATTTCTGAAGAATTATTTAATATTGACAATAATTAAAAAATAATTTACCATTTTTACTGTACAAATTTTCTCTTTATTTAATGCATCATAAATTGCGCTGTTATTCCAATTTCCTTTTTATTAAAAAAAAAATCAACAAATGATCAAAACTTTAAACTTCTTTCAATTGTTAAATATTTCGTCCATAGCACGACCTCTGATTCAAAGTAATTAATCTTATAACAATAAAATTGTTTCTGAAGATTAGAAAACAAATTTTGTTTTTTGATAGAATTGTGCATATGTACTACTTTGCTGGAGATATTCAAATTCATACTTGTTCTCTGCAAACTTTCAACAAGGCCTGTAAAAAGGTAAGCTGCTTAGAACTAATGATTCTCATGAAAATTTTATCCCTTGGTTCCCCACTGGTATAACCAGAAACATAAATGATAGATCCGTTTCACACATGAAAAAAAATTACTTGGGTTTGATAATTGAGGTCGGGATCGGATGGCTAGCAAAATAGTCACGTGACCAATTTCGCGGGAAAGGCTTTGTCAGGGTTGTAAACACGTTACAGTATTTTGGGCTTTCTTCCATCAGGGTAAAGAAATGGATGTTGCTGAACAGACCATTGTTACAAAGCAAGTGAAAGATCAAGTTGGTGAAAGATGTCAGAAGTTATTTCAGGATTTCTTAGAAGAGTAAGTAAATTATGGTCGTGGACTGGGTGATGTGTGCCTTCCATCCTTATTGTTATTATTTTATCAGCCGTTAATAAGAGAATACACCCCGGCAAATTTAATGAAATGCCTATTTGTAAGAACTGGTTTCAGATCTGTTCAACTAAATTGTTTCTTCCTTAAGCAAGTAATGTGTGGTAAACAGGTCCAGCACAATACCCCGATAAAGGTATATAGCTTGATAAAGCTATATAGCTTTATCAAGGTATTTAAAATACCTTGATCAAGGTATTTTATGTAATGAAATTAAATAAAAATTCTTTAAAAATTTATTACTGAAAGTCGAGTTCTGAGTCGTTGTCAGTAAATTCACCCATGCATGTAAAGTACTCGAACACAAACAAATCGGTATAAAAACGTGTCATGTGAGGAGACGTTATTTTATGCTTTCTTTTTGATACCAGAGTGTTTTTCATGCACGGGTAGACACACTGACAAAAACTCAGAACTCGACTTTCAGTACTTAATTTTTTAAAGAATTTTTTTGAATTTTCATTACATAAAATACCTTGATCAAGGTATTTAAAATACCTTGATAAAGCTATATAGCTTTATCAAGCTATATACCTTTATCGGGGTATTGTGCTGGACCTGGTAAAGAAAAAAATGTGTGTGTGTGTGTGTGAGGGGGGGGGGGTGAGTGAAGAAGAAAACTGAAGTTAATGGGTTTTTTTTTTATGAAAGATTGTAAGCATAAATGAGAAAGGGAAAATGCTTCCTTATGAGATTTGGAAATTAAGTTGAAATCAATATTACTCAGGTTTAGAGTGGATGGGGAGCAGAAGTACACAGTTGGAATCAATGACCTGGGACGCCCTGAGAGAAACACATTGACTGTCAGTTTGGAGGATGTTGACAAGTTCAATCAGAATCTAGCCACCACCATCCTTGAGGAGTATTACAGGTAACCAATTCTCTCAGAGCTCTCTTCTTGCAGGTTCAATCTCGTTTATCAGAGGGTCTTCTGTATGTAGATACTGAAACAGGTTGTCAGAAATTCTTATCTAAATAATACAGCAAAATAGCAATCAGTTTAATGTAAGTGCAAGGAGAATTTTTCATAAATATCTTGAATGAGATCTTAAACACTGCATGAACAAAGTATATGAAAGTAAGATGTCCATTTGTTAGAATAATATCACTTTACAAGATTCATGTCCTTACACTAAACAAAGATGGTTGATCACCACCACCAATATCGTGCAGCCATTTCTATTGTTAACATGACCATCGTCTGTGCAATGATAATCCCAATCTTTTAAAATTTTGCATCAAGCCCATTTTTTTTAACAGTTATGTAGACCAATACTTTCCAGTAAGTTATTGGTCTAGACATATTTTACCAACCTTTCAGACAGGACCAATGGTTTTTGACAACTCTGAATTACATTTATATATCCATGTCAAATACATGTTTGTTTTGTTTAGTAAATCTTGTAAGATGTGTATTATAATTTCTGTGAAGGGTAAATTACAGTAATTAGAAATTAATGAGTGATATTTAAGCATTGAATTCGTTAATCTTTAATGTGAATTTAGCGCCTTTCAAAACTGCCTTGGTTAACAGATGTAAGAGCCGTTTGTGACGTCAAATGACGTTAAATGATGTTGCAAAGTTAACTTACGCAAACAAACACTGCGAGGAAAAAAGTGACAAATTAATTCTTAACGCACGTTACGTTAATTTTTACGTTAATTTTTCAGGGTTATAGTTTTTCATTAAATTGAAGTAAAATATTTTACATTTTGGTGTTCCTAGAGTATTGAAATTGCATATAGTTCCTACTACAGTTGTATGTATTCTAACGCGCGGTGACAAGGTTTCGCGTGTGTTATAGTAATTTGAACATCGTGGATTTCTAATGAATTTCATAAGGAAATTCACACTGAATGTAAATATTTCATAATGGAGTCTGGAAAATTCTTAATAATACCAGAAAATGTGGTATGATCTCATTGAAATGTACTAACAATGACTAATTGTATTCTTAAATTTCAGAGTTTACCCATATTTATGTAGAGCAGTGAAAAATTTTGTGAAGGACTATGCTCAGACACCTCAAGGAAAGGAATATTATGTCAGTTTCACAGATGTTCCCACCAGACTGAAGTAAGATCATAACACAGTGTATCCGTAAATTTATTATTATCCAAACTGTACTTTGACATTGGGAAATCTTAGATAATTTGAGAGATAGATTTTTTTTTCATTATGATATGTATTTATAATTTGGTTTTCAGGGTGAGAGAGATGACAACAGCCAAAATTGGAACTCTCTTACGAATCTCTGGCCAAGTGGTGAGGACCCACCCTGTTCATCCGGAGCTGGTCCTAGGAACGTTCATGTGTCTGGACTGCAGAACAGTTATTCCAGACGTAGAGCAGCAGTTCAAATTTACACAGGTAAACATGCAGGCCAGAAATTGTCTTAATTGTAGAATCATAATAAATGGCCAGGAATAAATGTATGTGTGAGTACATTACAATAAGAAAAGTTTTCATGAATTAATTAAAATATCCATCTCAATGCAATTTATAAGAATTTTGTCAAATTTCTTTGTTTTTAGCTCACCTCAACGAAGTTGGGGGAGCTTATGTAATACCCTCGGCGTCGGCGTCGGTGTCGGCGTCGGCGTCCGTGTCGGCGTCGGCGTCCCAGGTTAAGGTTAAGTTTTTTGGAGCAGTTTTCTTTTTAAGTACTTTTATGTCCAATATTGATTAGACATGCATGGAAGATGGTTCTACTGTGTTTCATTGTACCAGTCAAAGTTTCAGATGCTGCAGTTTCAGCAAAGGAATGACCAGGTTAATGTTTTTGGAGCAGGTTAACATTTTTGGTGCAGTTTTTGGTGTAGATTTCATTTCCAAGTTACTATAAGCCCTATGTTGACCAAACTTGCATGGATGATACATCTAAGGATGCATACTACCGGGCTTGCTTCGGATGCTGAATCTGACCTACATTTTCCGGTTGAGTGAACAGGTTAAAGTTTTTGGTGCAGGTTTCATTTCCAAGTAACTATAAGTCCTATGGTGAACAAACTTCCATGGATGATACATTTAAGGATGGATACTACCAGGCTTGCTTCGGATGCTGAATCTGACCTACATTTTCCGGTTGAGTGAACAGGTTAAAGTTTTTGGTGCAGGTTTCATTTGCAAGTAACTTTAAGCCCTATGTTGACCAAACTTGCATGCATGATACATCTAAGGATGAATATTACCGGGCTTGCTTCGGATGCTGAATCTGACCTACATTTTCCGGTTGAGTGAACAGGTTAAAGTTTTTGGTGCAGGTTTCATTTCCAAGTAACTATAAGTCCTATGGTGAACAAACTTCCATGGATGATACATTTAAGGATGGATACTACCAGGCTTGCTTCGGATGCTGAATCTGACCTACATTTTCCGGTTGAGTGAACAGGTTAAAGTTTTTGGTGCAGGTTTCATTTGCAAGTAACTTTAAGCCCTATGTTGACCAAACTTGCATGCATGATACATCTAAGGATGAATATTACCGGGCTTGCTTCGGATGCTGAATCTGACCTACATTTTCCAGTTGAGTGAACAGGTTAAAGTTTTTGGTGCAGGTTTCATTTCCAAGTAACTATAAGTCCTATGTTGACCAAACTTGCATGGATGATACATTTAAGGATGGATACTACCAGGCTTGCTTCGGATGCTGAATCTGACCTACATTTTCCGGTTGAGTGAACAGGTTAAAGTTTTTGGTGCAGGATTCATTTGCAAGTAACTTTAAGCCCTATGTAGACCAAACTTGCATGCATGATACATCTAAGGATGAATATTACCGGGCTTGCTTCGGATGCTGAATCTGACCTACATTTTCCAGTTGAGTGAACAGGTTAAAGTTTTTGGTGCAGGTTTCATTTCCAAGTAACTATAAGTCCTATGTTGACCAAACTTGCATGGATGATACATTTAAGGATGGATACTACCAGGCTTGCTTCGGATGCTGAATCTGACCTACATTTTCCGGTTGAGTAAACAGCTTATAGTTTTTGGTGCATGTTTCATTTCCAAGTAACTATGAGTTCTTTAATGACCAATCTTGCATGGATGATACATCTAAGGATGCATACTACCAGGCCTGCTTCGGATGCTGAATCTGACCTACTTTTTGTGGATGAGTGAAAATGTTATTTTTTAATACATGTTTCATTTCCAATTAACTATGAGCCCTATAATGAGCAAACTTGCATGGACGATACATCTTAGGATGCACACTAATGGACTTACTTCGGATGCTGAATTTGACATACATTTTTCAGATAATAGACCAGGTAAAAGTTATGGTTGCAGGTCTATTACCAAAAAACTATAAGGCTCATATAACATAGTATAAACCAAACTTACACAAATGTTGCATCAAGAGATGAAAATTCTCAAATTTGCTTCAGATGCTGGATTTTGATTACATTTTCATTAAGAAGAACTAGTTTAAATTTTTTATGTAGGTCTATTTCAAAGTATCAGATCAAAATTGCTTAAATATTTTCATTTTTGGAATGTACACTTTTTTGTTGGTTAATTGTGTGACTTTGCCTTACTGAAAGACAACATTCGTTGAGGTGAGCTCTGTAATCTCTGATTACCTATGTTTTAGCCCAGCATTTGCAGAAACCCTGTATGTAACAATAGATCCCGTTTCATGTTGGATGTCAACAAGTCCAGATTTGTGGACTTCCAGAAAGTCCGGATACAAGAAACACAAGCTGAACTTCCCAGAGGAAGCATTCCTAGAAGGTATTTCTAACTTGTACCCAATGTAAAACCTGCAATAAGTATTACAGTCTTCAACTAACGTGTCATTTTTGTAAATAATTGAAATAAATTTTGTTAAAATAATTCTTTTCAAAACAATTGGTTGTTTCCCATTATACAGTGTGGAGGTGATCCTGAGAGCAGAGGCAGTGGAGACTGCTCAGGCCGGAGACAAGTGTGACTTCACAGGAACTCTCATTGTTGTCCCTGATGTCGCTACCATGTCATTACCAGGTAATCTTTGACTTTTGTTAAGCTTGTGTGCTAAATAAGAATGGAGCAGGTTAGTGAAAAGGTGAAGCAAAAAAAATGTTAATATCAGCAAATAATGGTCAGCTCATGACTACATATAGAATTTTTCATAGGCAATGTGTGTAAAAAAGTTACTTCAGAAAATGTGTTAATGAGCAGGCCTAGGTAGTCATATTTTCTGTTGAAATATCAAGCATATTGAGTTATATGCATGCTTTCTGTATCAGGTGCTAGAGCTGAAACAGGTGCAAGAGTGAAGGGAGCTGAGGGGTATGAAACAGAAGGGGTCCGTGGACTAAAAGCCCTGGGAGTCCGAGATCTGACCTACAGGCTGGCCTTCCTGGCTTGCTCTGTGACCTCAAGTAACCCAAGGGTAGGTATTCAATCAGTGATTTGTACATTTTGCATATAAATTGTATGCAAATTCTGACACTGCAGTGGGATAATGATTATTCTATTATGAATGGAATGTTTTTTTATATAGTTTGGAGGCCGAGATTTGAGAGATGATGAGATGACTGCTGAGACTTTGAAGAAACAGATGACAGCTGACGAGTGGCAGAAGGTGTACGACATGTCACAGGATAAAAATCTGTACCACAACCTCTGTACCAGTCTCTTCCCTACTATTCATGGTATTGCTAAGATTTTGATTTAATTATCATTAAACAAACTTGCAGATGATCATGAAGTAGCTTTGCATAAGACATGTTTTCATATTACAATAGTAATTAAAGAGTGATCTTTCAGGCAATGAAGAAGTTAAAAGGGGGATTCTGCTTATGCTGTTTGGAGGGGTTCCCAAGGTTACTCAAGAGAGAACCAATCTCCGTGGTGACATCAATATTTGCATTGTGGGTGATCCTAGCACAGCCAAGAGCCAGTTCCTTAAACAGGTTAGATTTCTTTATAACATTGTTCTCATGTTTTAGTAGTTCAGCATTTACTTGATAAATAATACTAAGAGATTTTTTATCCTCAGAAATGGAAAATTGATATGTGATATATTTTTCTTGTGTATATATGACTTGCCTGAGTATGTGATCGCAGGTACATGTAAATATCTTTTACAATTGCTGTTGTATGTTTATGCTGTGGTGTTCCTAGGTTGAGGAGTTCAGTCCACGGGCTGTTTACACCAGTGGAAAGGCTAGCTCTGCAGCTGGTCTGACAGCGGCCGTGGTGAAGGATGAGGAATCCTACGAGTTTGTTATCGAGGCGGGGGCTCTCATGTTGGCGGATAATGGCGTGTGTTGTATTGATGAGTTTGACAAGATGGATCCCAAAGACCAGGTGGCCATTCACGAAGCCATGGAACAACAGACAATCTCAATTACCAAAGCTGGAGTCAAGGTCAGTGTTTCATACTTCTTGTTTTGATCTTCTTTACACTCTTCTGTACCAAATGAGATAGCCATTAAAAGTTTAGCAGGGTCAAGACAAATATGATTTTCTCTCTTAGGCTACTTTGAATGCTAGGACATCCATCTTGGCAGCTGCCAATCCAATTGGAGGGAGATATGACAGAACAAAATCCCTGAAGCAGAACATCACCCTGACTGCCCCTATCATGTCCAGATTTGACCTTTTCTTCATTCTGGTGGATGAATGCAATGAGGTAAATTGGTTGTGGAACATCTTGTATTGCAAGTTCTTTGAAATCAATTTTCAATGAGTTGTAAAGACTGATAGGGAAATACAGCAATTTACATGTATTTATTTTGTAGGTGACAGACTATGCCATTGCCAGGAGAATTGTTGACTTGCACAGCAGGAATGAGGAGTCAGTGGACCGTGTCTACTCAGTGGAGGATGTCACCAGATATCTTATGTTTGCCAGGCAATTCAAACCCAAGGCATGTATCTATGAAATCTTAGGTGTTTTACTTTAAAATGTGATTTATGCCAACATGAAGTGAGTTAACAGAACTGACCGTAGGTTTGTTGATTTGATGGGTTATTTTAATGTTGCAGATAAGTGCTGATGCCCAGGAATACATGGTGGAGGAGTATAAGAGACTGAGACAGAGAGATGGATCAGGAGCCCACAAGTCAGCCTGGAGGATCACCGTCAGACAGCTGGAGAGCATGATCCGACTGTCCGAGGGCATGGCCAGGCTCTACTGTGTGGACGAGGTACACAGATAGGACCAAATATTTCTAAGCTGTATTATTCTGATACTTGATTTTCAGACTTGGATGGTAATTGTATGATTTTTCAAATGCAGGTACAACCCAAGCATGTCAAAGAAGCTTTCCGTCTGCTCAATAAATCCATCATTCGTGTGGAACAGCCTGATGTTCATCTAGAAGAAGAGGAGGAGGAGGAAGACAAACAAGAAGAGATGGAAG